TCTAAATAGTTCTAATCATTGCTTTGTATATCTGAGCCCTAGTATCAATTAAATGCTACAGCAGAGTCTCACCCTCTCGTTATTGCTCTAAAACACCTCGTCACAAATGTCATTTAGTGGTGACATGTAATCAATAATCTCCGATCCGGCATCAAAGAGCATCCAAACCATTGGAGAAACTACTTTCTCTATTCAGTGATATTTAAATGGGGAGCTTCGCACAGAAAGCCATAGATTTAGAAACCTCTCTCACGCCAGCACTCACCCATACTGAAGACGGAGAGCTGGGACATCATGGGGACTTTGGAAATGTTGCCGTCCCCCCCGGTGAAGGGCCTCATCTTGGTGTTCTCCGGCTGGAAGCGGGACTTCCACAGACCTTTGAAGTAGATTGCGTTGACAGCCACGAGTCGAGTGAGAGCCGGGTCCAACATGTCTGCTTTGATCAGGCTGGGGATGTTACCTGCAGAGAGGTATGCAACACGAGAAGAGTTTTTATATTAAAGAAAGACAAGAGAAGTCTCACAGAGGACGAGGCAAAAATGCAGCAGCATATTAGGACATCAAATTGACCACATTACAGTCAAGAGTTTAGTAGAGTTTGTTTGCTTTTATGCACAAACAAACTATAAAAGGACTTGCAGGTTAGCATACTGCATGAGGGCCTTTGTGTTTAAACCCTTAAAGCTCCTTTAAATATAGTATATAAATCGATCAGGACAAAAAGAGAGAGGGTTTGTTCCTGAAACTTTCAGAGTCTCTTTACACAGAGGGGACACATGTTTATGTATGAGTGTAACACATGCGTCACTTCCGGGCAAAAATGATGGCTCTGCCCACATTCGGGGGAAAACAAAGCTGTCATTTGAACGGCGGTCAGTACAAATTGTGAAGTTTTTGCCAATCCGATCAGAAATTTAAGAAAAACGTGGATTTTTGGATCTTCAAAGAGCCCGGTTACGATGGCCAGTCAGGCAAACAATTACATGAAATCATTGGAAATCGACGATCGGGCTCGATATATGGTTAAATATAGCAGTAGGCGATCGATGTCCATAGATGAGAGAAACATCTACGTCACTACCAGGCGAAAATTACGGCCCCGCCCACTTTTGGGGGAAAACAACGCTGTCATTTGAATGGCTATCAAGCCTGAAGCCACAGAGATCTTCTGTTACTGTCCTTTCTTCTTAGAGGAAGTACAGAAACACGTAACTCAATCAACCAATGTTTATTTATATAGCACAATATCACAAAAGTTACATTTGTCTCAGTGGACTTCACAGTTTGTACAGAATATCAGTATGAGAATACGACACCCTCTGTCCTTAGACCCTCACATCGTACAAGGAAAAACATCCAGAGAAGGAAAAACCCCACACTCTGGATTTGTTTTAATGTTTGAGGTGCAATAAACGACAGCAGCTTGTTGGCGTGATAAAACTATTATGTTCCGCCTCGCTCATGAGAGTAACAGCTGGCGAAATGACGGCCTCGCCTACTGATTTTAATTCAACCATATATAGAGCCCGATCATCGATTTCCAATGATGTAATGTAATTGTTTGCCTGACTGGCCATCGTAATCGGGCTCTTTGAAGATCCAAAACCCACGGTTTTCTTACATTTCTGATCGGATTGGCAAAAACTTCAGAATTTGTATTCGCCGCCATTCAAATGACAGCTTTGTTTTCCCTCAAAAGTGGGCGGGGCTGTAATTTTCGCCCGGAAGTGACGTAGGTGTTACTCCCATCTATTTAAGACATGGAAAAGTGTATTTTACATAATAGGTGACTTTTAAAATGTTGAAAGCAGAATAGGGGTTAAATGTACAATGTGTACCATTTTCTACCACTAGGGGGCTCTTAATCAAAACAACAACAAAAAAGACAAGAATTCAGCTGCAGCATATCAGGATGTGAAGTTGACCACATTACAAACACAAAGACTTATACTGTACAGATTAAAGTTGAATATGTTTTTTTTTTTATGTAAGAAAAATATATTAAATGACTTTCAGGTTAGTATATGGGGGCTTTGGTCAAGTCATTTTCTACCACTAGGGGTCTGAAACTAATTGCAAAAGACGTGGGTTTGGTAAAGTAGCGTTGGATTGGTTAGGATAACTTTATTGTTAATTGTTCAGGATGTTTCTACTAAAAAGCAAACTAATCTGCAGAGACTTCTTCCCCTCCAAAACAAACAGACTTGGTGAATACATCCTGTAACGATAAAGTAGTTTAATGTTAAAACAAATCTGTGTTTCCTTGATGATGATTGGCTGCTGCGAACATTTCCTCATTTCTCTGATAACTTTAGATTAAGGCTTAGAAATGTAATGAAAGTCGTGCTAACAGACTAGATATCGTCTGAAATCTTGGATATGGTGATACATCGAAGGGAAAGTGTTTCTATTCCTGGTTTCAAAGGCTGCATTAGAGTGAAGTGATATACATTTTCTGAACTTAGACCATTTGCCTATATCTGCTTACCCATTATATCAACAATACTCATGGTTATTTATCAAAAATCTCCTTGTGTACCCAAAGTCATCACTACAAAATCATCATAATATCCATGCCAGGTATTTGGTCAAAGATACTGTGAGGATATATAATTTTTTCCCCAGCCCTTCTTAAGATCCAGACGTCAGTTTACTAAAATCCTTCATTGTAAATCTCTTGCAAATGAAAATGAAAAGAATATCAATACAAAAACTGAATGCAAAGAGGGCGATGGAAACCACACAACGCTGTCTTTTGTTAGTGTATCGATGGAGAGACCTTTAGTGTCAAGAGTTAATACACACATTGGCACTATGAAATATTTTTTCAACAAAGAATGATATATAACAATGTAAAGATATATTCTCACACCTGCTTTTACTATTTAAGAATATGTTATATTATCAGACAGCTGTTACGTTAATCCACGTCTCCTACCTTTGGTCTTATTGCTGACCCACTGGTTGATTTCGTCTGCAGCTGCGTTGGGGCTGCTGAAGTCCAGCGCTCTGCTCTCACACTGGAAGTTTGCTTTGTTGGAGGACAGGAAGGCCTCTTCCATCTTGAAGCCCCGCTGTCTGAACAAGGCGTTAGCTATCAGCACGATGTCCTGGTTGGACTTCGCTATCAACGTCTTGTGAAGCTTCTTCAACATCCTGTACGGGCCTGAGCAAAGAAAGTACAAGTTTAATAGAGCGGTGCAGTGACGCGTCCTAAAACCCCGAAGTGAGTCAGCGTTTTACCACTTCCTGTTCCCTCGTCTCAGAGCCAATGGGATCTCTCCATAGGATTTTTGAAAATATCTGAAATAAGGTCTGTGGTTGAGACACATTGAAGAGACGGATCACGTTTTGTTCTACGACATTAAATCCATCAGCAGTGACCCCACTGGTGATTTCTGAAGAGTTGACGTGTCTGAGAAACGATGGTTGTTACCAAGTGGCTGAATAGGACTACAGAAGTCGTGGAGGTCGTTGTACGTCATTACGCCGAACACGTAAACACTCCTCTAAGTTAGTTTCTGTTCTGCTTGAAAGCAAGTCCCTGCCTCCTGCAGACTGTTCAAACAAACGCTTCAACTCGTTCCATTTAGAATCTGTATGTTTGAATATGGATCTTAAGTTGGCGTGACGTTGAAGTCGTGCTGCTGGACTCGGCTGTAGTTCCTTTATAGCATAACGTTAGCATTTAGCTTCTGGCCATTAGATTTATGATTCGAACATTATAAAAGTAGGGTAGACATGTGGAGATTCGTGTTCCTCGTAACAGGTGGTGAGCTCTGCCAATTTTACAAAATCTGGCTTGTGGAGCCTCGGACAAGAGAGGCGGTAGAGACGCACCACACACAGACACACAACGCTACGTACTCGTCTCGCACACTACATTGAACGGGACGGGGGGGGAGCGCTGTCTGGCCCGACGCTCTGCCTCTAGAGAATGCAAAATCTAACCTTTCTAGCTTCTTTGTAGTATCTACGTAAAACATCAGAAAAACGTCAATCTTTGCCCTAACCACTGTGATTCTGACCTTGATATATACAAATACATGTTATAATGTATTCTGGTATATAAAAAATTTACGAGAGGTTCATGGCTATTTTCTGGCTATTGGCAGCTGCGAATTGCCGCATAGTGTCCGACGAAATGTATTAAGTCGGTGCCTCCGGGAATTATGCCCCGAGACGCCCAAATAGCATAGGAGATTAATCCGATGGATTATCGGACGTTGTTGTGTTTAGCTCAAGGAAAGGTAAAGAGACGAAGAATGTGTGGTTTGTGGGTTTTTTGTGGAATTCGAGAGTGTGCACGCTCAATCGTATTTGGCGGGTGTGGTTGGTGGTGCTGTTTTTTTGTGTAGTTCAGAGTGTTTAGTCTTTATTTTGCGGAGTTGTACTGTGGGATTTGTGTCTCCTTTTGGGGTTAGAGGAGGTGTTGTGTCAGCCGTAGACAAAGGACTAGCGTTGGGGAAATTAATTGGTGTGACTTATTCTGTGGTGTGTCCTCGGGCACTGGTTATTGCTCTTTTTTTGGGGTGTGATGAGTTTATGAATATGGTCCGGTATAGCTTGGTCGGTGGGTAAGTGACTAGTTTTGAGGGGCAGATGGGCGTAAGGTGAGGCTTATATATTAGAAATGAGCGCAACTATTTTTGTGGGTTGCGAGTGCCAGTGTTCTTGTGTGTGGTTTTGGTCATTTGTTGTGCTCTCTCCTATCAAAATAAAAGACTGTGGCGTTGTGACGGTGTTGTGTTGCATTTCGGCTTTAAGGCGTGCTGGTTGGTTGTGGAGAGGTTTGGTTTGTTGGTTTGATGTGTAGTTGATGTAGTTCTTGTGTGTTGGTTTCGTGGTGGTTGTTTTTCCGTTGTGTTGATTATGAGACTTGTATCTAGTATTTTTTTCTGTAGTTTTTTGGTCACGTAATAAGCGTGTGTGTTTGTATTGTTCGTAATTCTTCATTCGTGGGTTGAGTAGTTTTTTGTTTTAGTGGGTTAATAGTTTAACTTTCTTTTGTGTGGTGGTTATCAAGGTAGTTGTTTGGGGTATCTGAAGAGTTGTTTTGTGGTTGTAGGCACTTGTGTGCGGAGATTTTGTGTTGGTCAGAGTGATTAGCTGTTGTACACTCTATGTATCGTAGGTTAGTTTTAAAGTGTACATGTGAAGCAACTGTGCAGCGCAATTGGTAGCGACACGCATGGAATACGTATCGGGCGGCTTATGTCTGTTGGTTTGTGTGGTGCTTACTTATACCTGTCTCCTGCCAGTTGTCCCTGATGACGATTTTGTTTCCGAGCGCTATTTTGTTTGATTCAGCGAGGAGAGCCGGCCGCTCCGAGATCCTCTGCAGCTGTCTTTGCGAGTTCGAAGTTAGCCGACAGTTTGTGGAACCTCGCGGTTGGTTGTCCGGTGTCTTGGTAGGTTGTTGTTTAGGGACCGGTAGTTTGTTGGCGTGCTTTGAGAGGGTGGCGCGGCTGCGTGGGTCAGTATTGTTGTTGGGTGTCTTTAGTGCGTCGGTTTTCGTCACAAATACATTCTTTCGTTTCTTTTAGGATTTGGGCTGTTCGGGTGTGGTTAGTGAGTGCGTGCAGGCTTTGGGAGTGTTCTTGTCTTTGTTATATGTCTTTTCTGCGAGTGTTTTATAGTCCTGGAAAGTGCTAGATCTGTCTACTACTGACTCTGGGATATGTTCTCTTTCGTGGTTTGGTTTGTTCCGATTGCTGATAAGGCTAAGATTAGTATACAAATTAGTGTGTGGTCTGCGCCGATATAAGAATGTTTTATTTTATACGACGTCGGGAAGTATCCAAGAGGATATCGCGTAGCCGCCTTTGTTCTTGCCGCCTCGGTCTTTGGTGGAGAATATAACTTGGATAGCGTGGAGAGAGTTTTTTTATATGGTTTTGCGAATTGTATTTATGGAGTTTGCGGATGAAAAGTGTCAGTGCGGAACCTTGGAAATCGTGATCGACGGGTTGGATATTAATAGATTTAATCCGTGTGACTCAGCGTGTGAAGTTCTCGTCGACTTCTAAGACGAGAAGTCACTTGTCGCATGTCAATCCTGACCAAAATGATGGTGTTAGGTGGAATGTGTATGGTCTCTGTGAGAAGTGAACTACTTTAAAATTCATATACCTGTGGTCTGCATGATCACGAGGTACCAAACATTGGTAAGGTGCCATACAAATGTATGTAGCAGTAAGATATAATAGAGGGAGATGACAACTCAGCCTGGCTTACACTGCACAATGTAAGTTATTGGTTTATTTTGTATTGTACTTTCGTATTTATTATGTATGATCTCGCCAGCCGTCTTCCTACACGGTGTTAAATGGAGGCTTCATTGCGACGTCAAGGGTTGTGAGCTGTTTGTTTCGCTCCTAAACGAGGTCTCGCACTCTTTTGATCCAGACCTCATACTCTAGACTACATTTTGCTTGCCTAGTACGTGCAAAACAC